ACCATTTTCTTTGCGTAGGGGCTCGTGGACGCCCCGCGGATACAGTAGATCAAAGGTGTGTCCTGATCTGCGAAACTTTTCCAAGTCTTGGATGGTTTTCTATTTACTGTAACTCCTTGCAACTCTCCATTCAACACAAACTGATCACCAATTATTTTAGATGCAACCCCAGTCCGCCGCACAGCAGTTGCTCCCCTCTGCGCTCTGCTGCGTGCGCGAGGGCAAAGGGTCCGGGTTTGCATCCTATGGCTCCGCAGGCCATCGCCACGCTGAATGGGTGGGGAATCCCAGCGCTGGGAGAGGAGGATCAGGATTCTGCAGATTTTGTTGAAGAAACAGATTTATGGTTATGGTTTATGTTCCCGCTTGTGGTGTTCTGCTTGTGCTATTTAAGCGGAACCAGTTGAAACCGGTACCCTCCAATGACCCAGGTTGTGGATGGTTGGGGTTTCTATAGTTGCAAGTGAGTATTGGGAAGACCCCAGAAGTGGTCGTTGAAGACTGTCCTTTTTTGCGCAGGAGTCTTTTTCAAAGAATCCATGTCCACTTGCAGTAGAGCTCAATGGCTGCCAAACTCTCAATTTGTTTGGAAAATGAGCTTGGGTCGATGTCGATTTGACGCCCAGCACCTCACTGGGCGGTTCCAAGATCATGGTGGACGCCTGGGTAAAAGTTCCAAGGAGCCCGTTGCGAGCGCGAGCACCGCTGCGGAGCACCACTCGGCCGGAATGACCTCAGGGTTCTTAACGAGCGCGTCGTGTTTCGAGCAAAGGCATGAAGAACACCCGGAAAGAGACCATGTACTGTAACTCCTTGCAACTCTCCATTTAACACAAACTGATCGTCAATTATTTTATTAGATGCCACCCCAGTCCGCCGCACAGCAGTTGCTCCCCCCGTGCTCTGCTGCGTGCGCGAGGGCAAAGGGTCCGGCTTTGCATCCTATGGCTCCGCAGGCCATCGCCACGCTAAATGGGTGGGGAATCCCAGCGCTGGGAGAGGAGGATCAGGATTCTGCAGATTTTGTTGAAGAAACAGATTTATGGTTATGGTTTATGTTCCCGCTTGTGGTGTTCTGCTTGTGCTATATTAAACGGAACCAATTGAAACCGGTACCCTCCAATGACCCAGGTTGTGGATGGTTGTGGTTTCTATAGTTACAAGTGAGTATTGGGGAGACCCCGGAAGTGGTCGTTGAAGAGTGTCCTTTTTTGTGCAGGAGTGTTTTTCAAAGAATCCATGTCCACTTGCAGTAGAGCTCAATGGCTGCCAAGCTCTCAATTTGCTTGGAAAATGAGCTTGGGTCGATGTCGATTTGACGCCCAGCACCTCACTGGGCGGTTCCAAGATCATGGTGGACGCCTGGGTAAAAGTTCCCAAGGAGCCCCTCGCGAGCGCGAGCACCGCTGCGGAGCACCACTCGGCCGGAATGACCTCAGGGTTCTTAACGAGCGCGTCGTGTTTCGAACAAAGGCATGAAGAACACCCGGAAAGAGACCCACATGGAATGTACTGTAACTCCTTGCAACTCTCCATTTAACACAAACTGATCATCAATTATTTTATTAGATGCCACCCCAGTCCGCCGCACAGCAGTTGCTCCCCCCTGCGATCTGCTGCGTGCGCGAGGGCAAAGGGCCCGGCTTTGCATCCTATGGCTCCGCAGGCCATCGCCACGCTGAATGGGTGGGGAATCCCAGCGCTGGGAGAAGAGGATCAGGATTCTGCAGATTTTGTTGAAGAAACAGATTTATGGTTTTGGTTTATGTTCCCGCTTGTGGTGTTCTGCTTGTGCTATATTAAGCGGAACCCGTTGAAACCGGTACCCTCCAATGACCCAGGTTGTGGATGGTTGGGTTGTGGTTTCTATAGTTGCAAGTGAGTATTGGTAAAAATTGTATGTTAAAAAATGCCAAAACATACGAAAAAAACAAAATAGATCATCACAAAATATTTACCAAAATACAAAAACATGCACAAAAGAAAAACATACAAAAACACGAAAAATACAAAAAATACGACCCGCAAAAAAATACAAAAAATACGACCAAAGTACGACCCGCAAAAAAAACATACAACTATACGGAAACATACGACCCGCGCAAAAAATACGAAACATACAAAATTTGCCGAAACGGGTTGCGAAACCAAAATGTTGCAATTTTTTCTTTTTTTGACGTGATTGCTGATTTTGCAGCCCGGCTGCCTTTGTTTCTATTTTGTGCACAACGCAAAAAGACAGCAAATTCGCGCAAATGCTTCTTCACAACACATAAAAAGGACAAGGTGACTCAAAATTCAATTGGCTTGGTGGGTGCTAGTTGCATTGTGGCCCTCATTTGAGTATGATATTTGGGAACCAGGGCCAGTTAGGACGTAGAACCATGCGAGAAAGTTGCATTTCAGGGCAGTATGTTTTATATTCTTTTTGTATTTTTTAATGTTTTTGGGTTTCTTAGCCTCTACCTGGAAGGAGGGGATTCAACAATACTTCAAGAAACTTTGAATAAGCATAGCTGAGGGTTATTTTGAGACAATGGAGCACATTGATATCATTGATACTAGACCCAGACCACATACTTCTCGGAGAAGTAGAAGTGAGACCCCTATTGACCTTGCAGGAATTGCGTTTTTCCTGTGTCCCCCAGTCTTCAAATCCTGTCCAGGTGCTGGATGACAGCAAGGAATCGAAACGTCCCAAGGCCCGGCATCGTGTTTAAACAAGTTTAAACTTTAAACTTTAAACCTTCATCCATCGCAGAAAGAACGTGAACGTCTCACGGCAGTCCGTTGCCATCCGTGACTGTATGCCTGGACTTGCGTGGCATTGATCTGCACATCGAGGGCTCTTTTGCGCTTACATTGCTTTCGCGTGTGTTTAAACCACGTCCACTTGACTTCACAGGAAGTTTAGATTCTTGATGGAAGGCTGTCCCTCGCGGCTCCGCTCCAAAGGGGAAGAAGAAGCCTTCCCAAAAAGGGCTTCGTCTTCTTCACCATCGTCAATTTCATCCTCGTTGCCTTCAACCAGGACTCCAAAGGACATTTACTGAGATGAACGTGTGGGAGCAACTAAACACAGCTGATTGGACTGTAAGAGTATTTTTGCGTCACACCAGCAGCCCCAACGACGACGACAACAACAACAGCAACAACGGCTAGAACCAAGAAGAGAAGTGAGGACAAAAAGAACAAAAGATGAGCAAGCAAGCAAAGCAAAGCAAAGCAAAGCAAAGCAAAGCAAGCGACCAAGCAAGCGACCAAGCAAGCAACCAAGCGACCAAGCAAGCAACCAAACAAGCAACCAAGCAAGCGACCAAGCAACCAAGCAAGCAGCCAACCAAGCACCTAAGCAACCAAGAAACCAAGCAACCAAGCAAGCAAGCAAGCAAGCAACCAAGCAACCAAGCAACCAAGCAACCAAGCAAGCAAGCAAGCAAGCAACCAACCAACCAACCAACCAACCAAGCAACCAAGCAACCAAGCAACCAACCAAGCAACCAACCAAGCAACCAACGCACCCACCCACCCACCCACCCACCCACCAACCCACCAACCCACCAACCCACCAACCAACCAACCAACCAACCGCAGCAGCGAACGTCCCTTCGGCGTTTTTGGGCTTTTCACATCAAGAATGATGGTGAGCTAGCCTGTTACGAGGAGCCCAAGAAAAAAAACGAGGAAGGCAAGGTAAGTGGCCCACCGACGTCTTCCCTTCTTTTCTTTCATGTCTTTCTGTCTTCATGTCTCTTCATCCTCATCCTTTCCTTCTCATTCGTGCACTATCGTCCGGACCTTAGTTTGTACACATACACGCACGCATATTCTACTTAAAAAGAGGTTCAGGTGGCCCGGGTTTGTTACAATGAGGTTTGGCTCACCGGTTGTCCCTCTAGACTTGGTTCTTCTTCATCGGCAACCTCACACACTTTTTGTTTGTCTCGTATCTTTCATTTTCACTTGTCTCTTTTGCGTGCACATGTGCGTCGCATAACCCCCTTTCCGGGCAGGATGGGGATGCCTCCTTTCCGGGCAGGATGGAGGCCACACAGGCCTCCCGTGTGTGTGTGTGTAACCCTTGGACCCACAAAGAACCTTTCGGTTTGGAGCAGGGGGACGGGACACCACTGGCATTTCCCGTCCGACGAAGAGGCTGCCAGCAGGTGCTGATGCAGTGGGGGACGCCCCACTGTGGACCTGCTCTACTATTTAGGAAAACAGGAGGAAACGGCGCTTGTATTGCCTTCTGTTTTCCTCTAGTCTACTCTATAGGTTTGCAGGTAGGCCCCCAACCTTGTAACGTGGACCTTCAACCCGAACTTTGTGGCCTCTACCCACTAGCATTGGCCTCCAACTTTGGCTGTCTTGCGTGTCTTGTGTTTCTTGTAACCTGGTAGCACTGGCCTCTAACCTGGTACCATGGCCTCCAACCTACTAGCGGCGACCTCCAACTTTGCTGCTCGCTGTCACTTTTGTTTTGCTTGTGCATACTACCCACCACCTACTAGCGATGGCCTCCAACCTTAGGCGTTGACCCCCAACACCCTTGCGATGACCTCCAACCTAAAAAAAGATTGCCATTAACCTACTATTCGTACTGGTATCTCAGGTTTTTTACTCAGGCCGGCGTGTGGCGACCGCTTTCCAATCAGTACGCAAATCAAAAAGTCTGTGTATATCTTGGGTTTGTCCTGTGACCTGTAACAGTCAGTAAACAATTGTCATCATTGTTGAACAAGGCCTTTAGTAACCATCACCATCCACTGCTACTGGTAATGGAATGGACCAATCCACTATATATTATGTCTCACTTTCTGGTCTCTCCGAACACAATGTTGAAAATTGTGGCCATACAAAAAAGAATATATATATATATATACGTCCCGCTTACAATATGTCACGGCCGCAAAATTGGGGTCGGAAGCGCGGTTTTCCAAGGTGTTTCACCTCCGACGCGCCACGCGGAACAAACGCACGCTGACTGGCCTTCCACCGAGGTTGTCGCATTGCCCACACTTGGCAACAAGCCCCTGGGCCGCATCGGCGATGGATCAGACTGATTGGCCGAACGTGGCCAGTTTGGAAGATGAGAATATTCAGAGTGTCCTTTTCCACCTAGTTGCTTTGTTACTGCAAAGTTTTGGGAAGGTATAATAAGATCCCATGAAGGATGTTCTTTTGACATGACCATACAGAACATGCACGAACTCTTTGCCCCAGATAGAGTGAATCGTACAGACCTAGTTTGATAAACTGATCATAACTGATCAATTCCTTTATTATCCCTCTATTTGGATCCAAGTACCTTCTCAGAAGGTGATTGTTGGAGACACTGTAGGTGCCAGGAGGGTCCAAGTACCTTCTGATGAGAAGGCACTTGGATCGCTAGGGCATGGTTGTTGAGGCTGACTTTCTTGATCCCTCATGTCTTCTTGAGGGACTATCCGGTCACCCTAAGCAGTCCGATAGAATGTGACCCCAAAGCCTTCTTCTCAAGTGATGACAAGCTCGCAGGGAGAGCAAGGCTGGAAGACACCCAGGTCTACTTAATTAACTGGACTTCATGAGACATCTAGTGACGTGAGACTTCTAGTGACGCCATTGACCCACTCTTTCCACTGCTGGCCGGGAACCGGGCTCAGGCGACCCGATCCCAACCCTTCCAGAATGGTTTTCAGGGAAAATTTGTTTTTGGTGCGAAAGCTGCGAAAACCAAGGCTGTAGCTTCAATCTCTGTCAAACCCAGAAGCCGCAAGAAACTCCCAACCCCAGCTCACCTAAGTCGAGCCACCGAGGCTGGCAGGGTCGCCTTCCAGCTCCTTGGAAATCTGAGGGGCAATGACCGGGGACACGGCAACAATGACCGGCTACAGCAACAGCCATGCATCTATTCTCTAAACACTGCGCTGGCTCGCAGAAACTGCTGGGCGCAAGCGGATGCATTCCTCGACTCTCGTTGTGGTGCCATGCGCTTTTTCGGGTCTCATGGTCACTTTTCGTGACGTGGTCCTCAAGTCGCCTTTTCATGGCAGGTGCAGAAGATCGGAGCGGTTTTATACTTCAATGTGCAGAATTGGCAGGCGCAGCGCTGGACATGGTGGTGGTCATTGACGCGTTCTGATTTCGTGGCAAGTGCAGTGAATCCTGACATGGGAAGCTCCTTTTTGGCATCTTGATGTCGTCTTTGGAAGTTCTTTTTGCCGCGAAACGCATTGGCAGGGCTGCCGATGTGAATCTTGATGCGCGGCTCCATCCATGGAGCAAATCGTGTTGCGATGCGGGTGTTAGGTGGTGCGACGAAGCGTGCCAGGTCGAGAGTGAGCAATCGCAGCCCAGCAATCTATGATAGATCTACAACTTCCTCCTCCTCCAGCTACTACACCAGAGACTCCGAGTCCTAAAGTCCCGAAGCCGATTAAATCGGAGCCGCAGAAGTTGCTCACTGTGGTGACCACCCACCCAACTGCTTTTTAGCTCTTTGGGCGATCCCACGCACACTGCGCATTGGCTGTAAGACAGTGCGGTGTCGCTGCATTGTCTCCCAACTTGGCAACTGGAGGGGACCTAGATTTCTCTCATTGTGTCTTTGTGGCTGCAGCATTGCTCTGTGTTCCTGCGACGCCTCGAGCCCTTCGGGGAGGCTACTGCTACTGCTAGATACTATATACTACTGCTACTACTACTACTACTGCTACTACTACAACTACTACTACCACTTCTACTTCTATTACTACTGCTACTATTACTACTACTACTACTACTACTACTACTACTACTACTACTACTACTA